TGACAATGAAGCTCCCTAGCATAGACAGTATGATTCGGGACATAAATATTATGATTATCCCTAATTATTTAAGAGCTAGGGTCTCTCTCTGTCTCTGTCTCTTTCTGTCTCTCTCTCCCTGTGTTATGTGTGTTCAGGTGTGTGCATGTTCACATGTGTGCAGGTGCTCATGTGATGCATGTGTGCAGAGGCCAGATGTCAACCTTGGCTGTTGTTTCTTAAGGACCATCAACTTTGTTTTATGAACAAGAGCCTCTCATTGGCCTGAGGCTCACTGACTCAGCGAGGCTGGCTGGCCAGTGATTCCAAGGGACCCTACTGCCTCTGCTCCCTAGGGCCAAATTTATAAAAGCATGCCACCAAGCCGGGCATTCTGTACATGGGTTCTGGGAATCAAATGCAAGTTCTCAAGGTTTCAAGACAAGTACTTTACTGACCCCCCTGATCCCCACCCTACAAAATGTGCTTACAAAATTATATTTTTCTAATTAATGAGTGGTAAAATAAAAGCTGATAAACTCTAAAGAGAAGTCTTCCAAAGAAGACTTTACCCATTATGCCCCCCCCCCCCATTGAGTATCAGGTCCAAAGAAGATGGTTACGGAGGAGAAAGACATGTAACTCCAAGCCTTGCATGAGGCTGGGCCCTTACTCAGCAGAGCAGTTCCTTGTAGAGATGCCAATCAACTTCATCCAGTTCCTGATGTTCCTCTGAGGGTAGACAGCTAAAGAGCAGCCCAGTGACCTCAGAGGAAGAAGAAAGTCCTGGGCCCTGGGTCCTGCATATGCACATGGTTGGTCTGCATGGGGATGGAGTGACAGAAAACAGACACAGGCACAAGCGAGCTCACAGCCTCGCTCTGCTGCAGCCCACTAGGCGCGGGTCTCTATTTCTCTCTGCATCCCGAATTAATATTTTTTAAAGAAGCCAAATAAATCAAGGGTGGAGGTAAAGTGCCTCACATCTAAACATCTACTCAGCATGCACTCTGTGGGATCAACAGTCCACTTGCTGAGATGGGTTTGGTGCTGTGTTAGTTAGAAGGAGTGCCGGGTCCTGGGGCAGACAGCCACCTGCCTGTCAAAGAGAGGTCAGTGGGACCGACCTCTCAGTCCCACTCTGGGTGCCCTCTCTACCAAGTCTTACAATAAGTACTGTTACCTTACATTGCTTAAACTTACACATTGCCTTCAGAGACAGCAGCTTTATCCTTCAAGGTAACTGAAATATCAGATTGATATTAAATCAAATTATTCTGTCAGTTCATCAGTTTTCTTGGGGATGGAGTACTCTGTGTACATACTCACCTTTAGGTGGCCTAATGCTTGGGAAAGTGAATTATTCATGGGCTTTCTTTTGGTTGCAAGAAACCTTTATACAGCTTTTGTTTCCTAATGTACTTGATAAGCTCCTGCATAAGATCACATTATGCGTTTATGGCTGGCAGTAAAGTAAATTTTAAATGATATAGTCTGCAGTTTTGCACTAAGAGAGGGTGGGCCGTGATTCATCACTGTCTCTGTCTTCCTGTTTACATGCGGGTGTATAATTCATGCTCAGAAGCCGCAGTTCAACTCATCTAGAAGGACTCCACACTTGCCACAGAATTCCGCTGCCAGTCCAGAATTCTAAATCACATTTCCATCAAACAGCAGGGCTAAAAATACAAGCATATGTTCTTCAAATATATGGCTCCATCTCTGGCTCCCAGCAGATGAGGCAAATTCAAGAATTATCCAAAGAGCAAGCACTGGGGTATGTTTCCATTCTTTCAGTACACATGGTGTATATGTGTTTGTGTGTATGTGTATGTTTTTTGGGGGGGGGCACATATATGTAAGTACATGTGCCTGTAAGGCCCAAGCTTGATGTCTGAATCAGCCTTGATACTCTTTTACCTTGATCAGTGAGGCAGGGTCTCTGGAACAAGCCCCAGGTTCACTAATATGTCTGGGCTCACTAGCCAGCTTGCTCTGGGGAACTCCTGCCTCTGCTCTTGAGGCGGGAATTACAGCAGGCCACCCAGCGTTTGACATGGATTCTGGTGATCAAACTCCCGTCCTCATACCTGCAAAGCCCTTTAACCACTGAGCAGCCTCTCTATCTCCTGTAACATTAGAATTCAATGAACCACTTATTTGACCTAAGGGCACCTGCAATTTGCATCTCAACACATGGCAAGATGCACATGTATCCACATTTCTTAAAATAACGGATACAGGGAATGCTAAATTCAGAAGAGGCTTTACCAGGTTAAGTTTTAATAATTCCAAAGTTTTCCTTTATAAATGGTATTCCTCCATGCAGATTTGACAGATAAGACAGATTTGATCGAGGGAAACAATGAAAGGGCTTGCTGAAATTCTGCTCGGTGCAATGTGAAACTGTATTAGTTACCTTGATACAGGAGGAGGGGTCTTTGGGCTCATGATGTGAAGGGAGACAGTGCGACATGGTGTAAGACTGTAAGACGGAAGACCCTGCTGAGGGTTTGTCAGCAGAGTGTGAGGAGGCTGGTCACGTTGCATCCACAGACAAGAAACAGACCTGCAGGAAGGCAGTGCCAGCCCTCCCCCGGTCTCTTTTGATGCCGCCCATGGGATGGTATTGCCCACACTCAGGCTGTATCTTCCTCCGCAGCTAAACCTCTGAAAATACTCTCACAGGCATGCCCAGAGATGTGTCTCCTAGCTGATACTAAGTCCAGTCATGTCGGTAGTAGGCATTAGGCGTGTTCCGTCCCTGTGTCCCGTCCCCATGCCCCCCCCCCCAATCAGCCACCTCCTTGACCTTCAGGAGATGAGGTCTCTTAGTGAGAATGAAACAGCTCCATCCTGTCACAGTCCTAATCACTAAACAAAGATAAAACCCCACTATCAACTTACCTGCTCAGCGGGAGTTTAACTGAAACACTCTGGGGGTTTTTCATCGAACATGCATGACCTTGACGCCCTGTCCCATGATGCTGTTTACTTTGATTATGGACCAAGTCTCGTTCACCTTGAACATGAGCTTGAAGGAGCTGGCCCATTTGAGAGCTCTGTGTAGCCTTACAGCCCCTTCCTACACTCTGATGACTTTTTATGCCTTCTTTTAAAGCGAGGGCTGCCTAATCATTTTGTCAGTCTTTAACTCTGCCAGGAATTGTTAGGACTTCCTGGGTCTCACTGAACGTGCTGCTTGATCTGTAGCTTCCAAACTCCTACCCATGGCTTCCGACTGTCAGGATTCAAAAACTAGGGTCCAAAAACCTAGACTTCTATGATTGTCCCAGTCTATAGTCTCTCCAAAATTCATAGATTGCAACTTAACCCTAACGTGGTAGTATTGAGAGGGGGCCTTTGGGAAGTGGCTGTCTAACCCTTCCACTGTTGTGATAAAATACCCTGAGGAAACACGGCAACGTGGAGGAGAAAGTGTTTATTTGGCCCAGGATTCCAAGCCGCCTGTCCTTCCTGGCACGGAAGGGCAGGGCAGCAGGTGGGGGAGCCTGGTGGGAGGGCTGAGAGGCTGGCTGGCCACACTGCAGACACAGGAAGCAGAGAAGAAACAGGAAGTGGGCTGAGCTATAATGCCTCAGGCCCTCCTCCAGTGACCTACTTCCTCCAGTGACCTACTTCCTCCAGTGACCTACTTCCTCCGGTGATGCTCCACTGCGTGAAGGTCCCCAAACCTTCCCAAATAGTCCACCAGTGGGGACCATGTTCAAACATGTGAGCCAGTGAAGGACATTTCACATTCAAATGACAACAGTCATGAAATGTCTGCCCTCATCAATGGAACTGGTGCCTTTTCAAGTGGACCCAGAGAGCTGCCCTGGGCCGTCCTGTCCCCCCATCCTCCACTGTGTGAAGACAGCAGAAAACTCCAGCTAAGTAGACAGTGTCTGCCCTCATCAATGGAACTGGTGTCTTTTCAAGTGGACCCAGAGAGCTGCCCTGGGCCGTCCTGTCCCCCCCATCCTCCACTGTGTGAAGACAGCAGAAAACTCCAGCTAAGTAGACAGAAGCTGTCTGCAGACCCGTCAGCACCTTGATCCCCCCGTCCAGCCTCCAGAACAGCGAAAACAAATATTCCTGTTTGTGCTAAGTCTTCCAGTCTCAGGTGTTTTGGTACAGCTCTTCAGAGATCCCGGCGGGCTCCTCTCTTCCTTGTCTCATGCCTGGTGCTAAACGTGTGATTGATTGATACACAGGGTTTCCTTAGCTGTGTGGAGGGGTCTGCAACTGAACAGAGTTGGAGGTGCTTTGGACCCGGGTGCTAGGCCTGTGAACAGAGTCTCTGCTGGTCTTCATCTGCATAAGATGCAATAGCAAAACACTTGAGACTGGACAGAGAACATGAATTTATCCCTCAGGTTCTGCAGGTGGGAAGTGCAGCCTCCAGGCATTGGCTGGTCTGTGTTCCAAAGTGGCCCCAGCTGCTGCAGTGGGGAGGGGTGGACCACTGTGTTCTCACTGGACTGACAGGTGCAGGGCAGGAGAGGGGGCAAGCGGGCACCCTCCAGCACTTCCATGTTACCAGGCACGTTTTAAAGGTCTCATTCCTTTTTAAAAAATTGTATGTATATGGACATTATGTGTCCATGTATGTAAGTGCACTTGTGTGTGCAATGCTCTCAGAGGTAAAAAGAGGGCATCAGATCCCCTGGAACTGGAGCTATAAACAGTTGCTGGCCACCATGTGGGTGCTGGGAACTGAACCCTGTCCTCTACAAGAGCTGTCGGTGCTCTTCACCACTGAGCCAGCTCTCCAGCCCCGAGGCCTCACCTCTTAATGCCATCACACTGGTGATTAATTTTCGCCAGGGATTTGGGGAAGGAGTCGGAGGTGCTGACATGGGCGCCTCCTCCACCCAGCCCCACTTTTTTCCGTTATTACTTTATGTGAGCACAGACTGTTCAGTGATCTTTCCAGTCCTATGACTCGGTGGCTTCTTTTTATATAATAAATCATAAGGAGGTGGCACAGTATTGAAATTTTTATTAAAATGCTTCTGATAATGACTTCATCGCTCTCTGAGGCTCCCGGGTCTTCCCACATCCAGGGAAGCCAGGACCCAGCCCTTCCAACTCCCTCCGACTCCGCACATCCCTTTACAGACAAGCTGCAGATGAAGAAAAAGAGAAATTAAGAGTAAAACCAGAAAGCAGGTCTTCCAAAGCTATACATTTTCAGGAATTTCTCCACAAGGAGAACACATTCCCTGCAGCTTTTACAGCTACCTCTTGGGCACTGCCTCACAAGGCTTTGCATCCTTGTTGATAGGGATTGAGAGGTGGGGTTAAAAATGAAGTGCACTTGACAGAGAGTCTCTGATGGCCTGGTTGGAGGAGGAGTGACACCAGCCTGGCAGGTCTTGGGAAGCTTTTCTGGAGGTGGTTGTTATGTTTATCCCTCACCCGGTGTCCCGTCCCCTTCCATAAATCCCATTGTATTGATTACTTTTCTTACTACTGTGACAAAACATTTGATCCTTAAGGAAGGAAGGGCTTATCTGAGCTCACGGTTTGGGGATACAGACTACATGTCAGGAAGGCAGAGCATGAGGCAGCTGGTCCCATCGCATCCCCAGTCAGGAAGCAGAAAGCTGGGTGCTGGTACTCAGCTCACTTTCTCCTTTGTATTCAGCCCAATACTCCAGCCCGAGGGGTGGTGCTGCCCACAAGAGGGGGTGAGTCTTCCTATCCAACCTAGTCTTATAATTCCTTCACACCATCTGTCTTCTAGGTGATTCTGGATTCTGTCAGATTGACAGTCACACCTGTGCTAGATAATTATATTCAAAATAATCCTTGAAAAAGTTGAAAGTTGGGTGATAGGGCCCACATTGAAAAATATTTAGATAGATTCGATTGCCCCAAGAAGAGAGCCTGTCTCCACTCCTGAAGGCATTTGACATATTTGCATGTGCAAAGTTGGTTCTGATCCCATGACAAATTGTGTCATCTGTACAGATATGACCAAGGACAAGCAAGCACTGTGGTACAACCTGCTGGCTGCAGATGATAATCACACAGGGTCACTACCCATTTATTTTTATTATTATTATTTAATTACTATGACTTTCTTCACACGTCTGCAATTCTTTCTTGGGAATCCACTAGGCACCTGGCTGGCATGAAGCCCTAGGTTTTATCCCCAGCACGTCCTAGAAGAGATTGATGTACATGTAGATACACCCTCCCCACACAACTTTGCTTTGTGTAGTTTCCTGAAAAGAGTAAAAACAGAGGTACCGCATGAGCCAGCCGTCCCACTCCTGGGTCTGTATAGAATCGGAAGGGATGGATCAGGACGTCTGACAAGCAGTCACATTCTGTATTCATTCACACTGTTCCACTACTCACAATCGCCCAGACACAACCCCCCCCCCAAAAAGCATTCCTGTCCCTTGGCCCCTCCTCCTGTGCCCTCAACAGATGACTCAATGAGGAAATTCATGAATGCCATGGAGTACTATTCAGCCTTTAAAAAGAAGGAAAACCCCACCCTGTGCTGCGCTATACCATAGGTGGAGGTTGTGCTGAGTGGGGTGGCCCAGGCACAGAGGTGAGAGCTGCAAGGCTCTGCATACTTAAGCATCAAACTATTCCAACTCAGGAGAGGAGGGTGGGATGGCAGCTGCCAGGGTCTGGGGTGGGGAAGGAGGACTTGCTTGTGCAGCAGGCTTCAGATTTGAGAGCTGGCGGCAGGCTGAGTATATGTGCTGGGAGGGTGCCGCCCTTATCTCCACACCTCAGTAAAGTAGAGTAAAGCTCTGGGGCAGAGACTCCAGGTGAGTCCTCCCCCCACATCCTTCAGCTCCTCCTCCCATCCCTTAGCCCTTTCTCTGGTCTCTTAGCCCCTCCTTCCTTCACTTAACCTCTCCCGGGTCTGTCCCTGGCCCAGCTCCCGTCCCTGGCCCCTCCTCCTGTCCCTGGCCCCTCCTCCTGTCCCTGGCCCCTCCTCCCAGTCCCTGGCCCCTCCTCCCAGTCCCTGGCCCCTCCTCCTGTCCCTGGCCCCTCCTCCTGTCCCTGGCCCCTCTTAGCCCCTCCTTCCTTTACTTAACCTTTCCTTCTTTCCTCCCCCGCCCCACTTCCCCGGTTGGTCCTCTTGTCTCCTCTGTACCTTCTGCACCATGCTAGCTGTGGCTCACACAGGATTCAGGGCAGGTGAAGTCCCCCAGGCAGGATGTCCTGAAGGCTGTGTGAGCACCACAGTACCCTGGGTTCTGTGAATAGATATGGAGGTGGCCCCTCCTCCTGTCCCTGGCCCCTCCTCCTGTCCCTGGCCCCTCCTCCCAGTCCCTGGCCCCTCCTCCCTGTCCCTGGCCCCTCCTCCTGTCCCTGGCCCCTCCTCCCTCCTGTCCTGTCTCTTAGCCCCTCCTTCCTTTACTTAACCTTTCCTTCTTTCCTCCCCCGCCCCACTTCCCAGGTTGGTCCTCTTGTCTCCTCTGTACCTTCTGCACCATGCTAGCTGTCGCTCACACAGGATTCAGGGCAGGTGAGGTCCCCCAGGCAGGATGTCCTGAAGGCTGTGTGAGCACCACAGTACCCTGGGTTCTGTGAATAGATATGGAGGACCCCTGTGACTGGCCTGGACTACCAGGCCAGGCCATGAGACCCCAGGGCAGCTTAGAACTGCCTTTGATCCCAGGTCTCTTTGCTTCCAATACCCACAGCTGCAATTTATTTAACCTACTTAGAAATTGCAGGAGGAAAATGAGTGGATGCAAAATCAATAGTGATGAACCATCTCCCGTTCAGAATTATTCTGAGGGATTCTTTTTCCTTGCCCCACTAGGAACAGCAGATTTAAAAGCTCTCATTACAAATGCTGCAGTCCCAGCCTAATACAACTAATAATCCAATGGGGTCCTCAGATCAATAATTCTCAAATTGGTTTTTGGAGCCCAGTAATTCCCAGAGCACACTTCAGGCTGGCTTGGATGCTTCATTTTGTAGACAGTCAGGAGTGACTTCTGCTCGATGAAGAAACAGAATTGGAGGGGCTGGAGAGATGGGCCAGTGGTTAGGAGCACTGGATACAGTTGCAGAAGCCCTGGGTCCCGTTCCCAGCACCCACATTGAGTGGCTCACAACCACCTGCCACTCCCAACACCCTCTTCTATGGAGAGGCCCCTGACCAATCATCAGGTCTCAACTTAGTGTCTTTCCTTGGTGCCTTAAGCTACTTGACACTAGGTTAGTTAATTTCATCGTTTACAATTTATTTAATATCCAATAACAGACCTGCATTTGATTGGCAGTGAGCAGTGAAGTAGTCAGCAACAACTTTGTTCCAAATAAGTCATTTTTTTGCTGGCTTCTTTTCATTTTTATTTATTCTTCCAAGTTCCACATATATATGCAGTGCACCTTGATCATGTCTACCCCTCGCTTCCCTCCTTCAACCCCACCAGGATCCCTCTCACATCTCTCTCCCAACTTCATGCCCTGCTTCTATTATTTTTGTACTTATCTATCTTAACCTATGAGTCCAGTTAGCATTGCCCATATGCACATGGGCACGGGATCATCCTCTGGGCACGGGAACCCACCAGTGGCCACACTGCTAACGATAACTGACTCCCTCCCTAGGAGCCTTCAACTGCCAGTAGCTCCTGAGCAAGGGGTAGGGGCTCAGGAGCCCATCCCACCACACTGGAATTCGTAGTTGGCATGATCTTGTGTAGGCATGATCTTGTGTAGGTCACTGTAGCTGCTGTGAGCTCGTGTGTGCAGTAGGCATGCCATGTCTGGAGGACAGCAGTTCACAGCACCCCTCCTCTTCTACATCCTGCACCAAGCAGGGACCCCACTGTCCCCCAGGACCTGCACTGCTTTGATGATTAAGCATCAGAGATTCCTTTCTGACATAGATGGTTCCAGAAAACAGACAACTGGTGATCTGAAAGGAAGGTGGAGCCTGGGACCCAGGTGCCTTTGTTTCCCTCTGCCTGTCCCTTCATGCAGTGAGACCCTCGGGATACTGTACCCAGTTCACAAGTGCAGGGGCACAGGAAGGCTGGAACCAGCATTTAATGTGATTTTAGTGATAATACATTTAAATACTACTCTGTCTTTTCGATCCTTGTCTTAGGCTGATACAGCGAGGAGAGGAAATATTTCAGGATTAAGAACTGGAGGTTGTAAGGAAACCTGAGTCCCTGTTGGTCCTGTCCCTCTGCCACCCTGCCCTGACCCCACCACATTCTCCACATCATAGGTGAGGGTGCCTTGCTGTTCCAAGACACAAACAGTCCCATGGGGAAGCAAGAGAAACAGATATGGTCCTCTGCCTTCCCCAGAAGCAGGAATAGGCTTGCTCTGTAAAGACACCCACCAGGATGCTGTGCTTACTTGCTTCTTACCCAGGAGCAGGTTGGTAATGTTTCTGCTCAGATGCCAGGACACTGAAGCTGGAGGTGTCTCCTCACCTTCTCTTTCCCCCTGGCTGTGACTCTCTCATCCTGAAAGAGATAGCATAATCCCTACTAGACCTGGGCCTCAGGATCCAACCACCCCACCGTGGAGGGGGTGAAGGGGCTGGGGGGCTCACACTGGTGAGGGACTGCCCAGCCTCCCGCTCTGAGGTGGGTGGAGAGACCCAGGACAGCAACTGCTCTCTGAGCCTCTAACGTTCCCTGCTCAGTCCCAGGTGCCTCGCCAACCTCCTCTCTGGAAGTCAGTTATGTGTTGTATAAAAAGGGCATGTCATGAGGCTGGAGAGATGGCTCAGTGGTTAAGAGTACTGGCTCTTGCAGAAGACTTGGTTCAGTTCCCAGAACCCACGTGGTGGCTATCAACCATTCATAACTGCAGTTCCAGAAGATTCGACACCTTCTTCTGACCTCTACAGGCATTGCATGACACAGGTGCACTTACATACATGTAGACAGTATACTCATACACATAAGAAATAAAAATAGTAAATAAAATATTAAATAAAGAAAAGGGCATGTCAGAGCCCTGGATTCCTGTCTTGTTTTTATTCAAGATCACCTGCTGAGACAGACTGGAGAGCCAGGCTCTGTATACACTACGGTCCATCTCATAAGGAGCTAGGCTCTGTACCACCCACAGACCGTTTCATAAACAGCAGAACCAAACAGATGTGCTCACCACACAAAACAATCCACACAACTGAGTGTGCATAAGATGATGTGTGTCCTGCCATTACTGTAATGGAGACAGTACTATGTTGCCCATTCGATTCAGAGTATAATTTCTGGAAGTTCTGACCTCTATAAAGCACCTTGGGAGTCAGGCTGTTGCGGCTCATCTCAGATTCTTCTTCCATACTGTTCTGTCTATTGCTTTCTGCTGTGCTTTGAACTTGGAGAACTGTGGGGCCCCCAGGTTTCCCACATGGTCTCCTCTGGATAGGGTGATACATAGTCTTTGAGGTTTTGGCGCAGGTCACAGGTGATTCTGGGAGCTGCACCTCTAGCTTGGACAGAGGTGGCCATTGTGGCCTGAGCTGTGTCGCTTCCCTTCTCTGACACGGTCAAGGACACTTTGCCGTGGGAGAGGAGGAAGGCCTGCCAAGCCTCCTGGTTCAGGACACTTGTCTGGAGAGTCCCTAAGGTGATATGTGTCCCTTGCAGGACATCAATCTGGAAACTATAGTCACAATGGGCTCCTAGGGATGGCTGGGCTGGGGGCCGCTGTGAGTGAAATAGCTCGAACAGGAGGAATCAGCAACACAAACATGCGTGAGCACAGAACAGTGGCTCCAGCACCAGGATGCTGCGTGGCTTCCCCTAGGAAATTACAGCAAATAACGCTCAAGTCAGGCAGGAGGGCGGCGTCCCGGAGCTGGGGACAAGGCGGCGTGAGCTGAGGGCTAAGGGCTGCGGCCCTGGATTCTGTCAGACCAGGGACCCCACAGTGGGGAGAAGCAGCTCTGAACCATCCTTGTTCACAGCCACTGGCTGCTCACATGCTTCCAGCAACACCGCGGTGGTTTCCGAACCTTCTGGGCAGTCATACTTTATGACACACTCCCCGGGTCATGGTGGAGATGGCCCTGACTCACTTGTGTGCTCACTCTGAGGAGTAGGAAAGGTAGCAACAGAGATCCCAGAGGGATCTGTCACTGTGACTGCCCGAGCCCCATCATGATGGGACCCCCAGCCCACTGGACATGTGACTTGGGCTCCATTCATGCATCTCAGGATGCCGAAACAGACATCTAGACTGGGAAGGAACCACATCAGAATAGGACAGGAGTCTGGCCTAGAAAGCCAGAGGTGAGATGTGTGGTGTCAGGTACCAGAGCAAACCATGCTCTCAACAGACAGAGAGCTCTTCCGTCGCCAGGGCACTGGTCCACCCAAAGTGGTCTCAAGAATTCCCAGTTAGGGTCACTGGCTCAGAACAGGGCTAGGAACAGACTAGAGAGTAGGCATACGTGGAGGTGTTGGCAAGTAGATGTCTCCAAAGATTATGTAGTAACAGCAAGGTCTCAGACCCCTGCTGACCCCCATCCCTGAAATGCAGCGAACACCTGAGGGGGTAGTAGCCAGACCACACAGCATCAGGAGTAAGAGATGCCCCACCCTAGCCCCATCGGAGCCCACCTCCTATGAGGATGTCAGTTACTGCTGAAGACAGTTTGGAGAAGAAATGTTCCCATTAAAGATGTATTGTCAGGACTGGAGAGATGACCCAGCAGTTAAGAGCACTGGCTGCTCTTGCAGAGGACCCTGGTATGGTTCCAGCTCCCGCATGGTGGCTTACAACCATTTGTAATGCCAGTTCCTGGGGATCCAATGCACTCTTCTGACCTCTATGGGCATTGCATGACATGGGTGCACTTATACACATGCAAGCAATACAATCCCACACATGAAATACAAATAATAAATAAAATATTTTTTAAATTGCCTGTAAAAAATAAAGATATATTGTCTATTAGCCCTTTGCAGCAGGTGTCCTGTTAATAGGGTCTTTAAGGACTGGGAGAGGGCCCAGTGGGTAAGACTTGCCCTGCCAACACCAGGGTCTGAGTGTGGATTCCCAGAACCCACATAAAGCCAAACTCATTGGTGCGCATCTGGAATCCCAGTGTGTCTATGACAAGCCAGGGGATGGGGGTAGAGCCGGAACCTCTGGACACTCCTGGGCCAGCTGGCCAGGTGTACGCAGCAGCCAGCAGCAAGACCCTGAAGGCAAGGACAGACGCCCCTGATTATCCTCTGACCTCCCTTCACATGCCACTAAATGTATGTGCGTCTCTCTCTCTCTCTCTCTCTCTCTCTCTCTCACACACACACACACACACACACACACACACACACGTGCCCAGGCCTTTACCCACCTTCGCACACCACAGCTGCACAGCCCACATGTCTTCCCTTCTCTAGCTACATCTCTGCCCATAGCACGATGCTTCAAGTGCAGGCAAGGCAGGCAGAAGTCTCCAGAAAACAGCTGAGCTGAATGACAGCCAGGCAGAAGGACTGCTGTGGAAATAGAGTGGGAGACTGAAGAGAAGCGGGAACCCAAGCTCTGACGTCTCAAGAGGCTCTCAAGTGCCTCTCGCTATTTATGTTACAGATGACCAGCTTTGCTGCTGGTGACAAAAATAAGTCACTGCCAGTTGCTGTGATTGGAAGAGAGAAACGTGGTTAAAATTATCTCACTTAGAAGATCAAAAAGGAGGCAGGAAGGAGTGGGAGGCTGCGGAGCCAAAGTTCTGACCAGCTGTAAACAGGAGCTGCTGAGAAGACCCCAATTCAGAGACTATTCTTTGAGAAAAACCATGAACAGAGAGGGGAGGAGGGAGGGAAAGGAAGGGAAGGAGGGAGAGAGAGAGGGAGAGAGAGAGGGAGGGAGGGGGAGAGGGAGTGGATTTACAAATAACAACATAATACTCCCCCCAACACCATAACTGAGAAGCACAGCTTCAGGGTTGTGGAGGGAGGGAGGGAGGCCTGAGATGGCAGGAAAAGGCGGGAAGGCTCCGGAAGGAAGTCAGTGAACATAGCAAACCCACAGCTGGATGGAATCTACCTGCCACCGTGTACCCGGAATGTCACTGCACAGCTGGGAGCAGCAGACGTCAGCACCAAATTGAAGACAGAGGCGGCAGAATCTGTACCTGCTGGGGGTGCCCTGCAGGGTGCTGTGCAGTGGCCACAGTACAGTCACAGCAACTGGAGGGGACTGGCACCTTCCAAGCAGAAGCAGGCGGGTGGGGTCAGTGTGGAGTATCTGGAGGTCAGAGCAGGAACCAATTCCTGTGGAAGCTGGTGTTCACTACTCACTAGATGAAATGTAATTCAGATGAACAGTGCATACCAAACCCTGTCCTAGTTAGCTTTAACCATCACTTGACACAGTCCACAATCACCTGCAAAGGAAGTGACAGATTGCCTAGATCAGACTGACCTGTGGGCATGTCTGTGAGGGATTGCATTGATTGCCGATTGATGTAGGAGGATCCAGTGCACTGTGGGCAGTGCCATTCCCCAGGCGGGTGGGTCTGGGCTGTCTAAGGAAGCTTGTAAGCAGGAGCCTGCAAATGAGCCAGAAAACAGTGCCCCTCCCTGGTTTCTGCTTCCAGCCCCTGCTTGAGTTCTGGCCGACGTCCCTCAATGACTGACAGCGATCTGTAAGCTGAAATAAACCCTCTGCTAAGGTGCTTTTAGTTAGAGCGTTTTATCACAGCAGCAGAAGAAAACTTAAACATGCCTTTGGTGCGTTCAGGATGAAAGTCTTCACGATAAAATATTTTAAATGGCGACATAGAATAACATAGTCACAAAGATGTTATTTTCATTGTACTGTGAATATTGAACTTGTTGCATTTTTTTTTGTAAAAGTTTTGAAGTGGAATC